AGAAATAGAACCGTTCGTTAGCGCTGTTAAATATAAACTGTTTCGTATTTTCTGCAACTGTTTACGATTTTTGTTTGGTTTCCCCCACAGCGCCTAACTAACAGTTGTTGTGAAGCTTAAGCTTTCGTATGTAAAGCTTTAACATTTTTGTGGAGGTGTTAACATATACCGCTAGTGGAGCTTGTGTTAAATAACAGAGAGTGGGAGCCATGTTAAGGCGTTCTTACAGGGACAAAAATACTTAGGCTTTAAAGACAGTGGTTGAAAAAGTAAAAAAAATTGAATCAAAAAATTAAAAACAAATTATTTTAGAAAATAGTTTAGGAAATTTGTTTAAAAATACAATGAAGTGAAAATAATTAAAAAAATGTTTAAAAATTATATATATTTTTAGCCAAAAATAATGCTAACAAGTGAAAAAGCGTTAGGTTCGGCCGGGCCTAACTTTGGATACCCTCCACCATAGATATACTGACAGGTACTTGAAATGAAAATATGGGGAAAATACAAAAAGTGGACCTATATCGACATGTCTAAAAACGGATTATGTAAACCATAATACAAATTTCAGAAATTTTTAATTGATAATTCAAATTCGAAGATGGGGAATATCGGTCCACTCCTTCTGAAACCTCCACACAGGGACTAGGTCTAAATGCGGCTATAGTTCATTATCGAACTTTACGTTCTAATTTTTTATCCCGCTATCCTCCGCAGGTGAAATGATTACACCAGAGTCTTAGAACCAAACTCAAAACGCGGAACAAATCAGATAACTATTTTAATATAAAAAGGGGGGCGAATATTAATAATTTTTGGTAGATAGATTTGTTACCATATACGACTACAAAATACCAAATTGCAGCAAATTCGGTTGAAAAACGCGATCAAGAACCCCAAAATACCGAAAATTGGGGGTACCCTTATATGGGGGCTATCCGAAAAAATGGACCTATATTCCTAATTTTTTGTGGAGAGATTTGGTATCTATTAAGAACTCAAAATACTAAATTACAGCCAATTCGGTGGAAAAATACGACCAAAACCCTCAAAATACTGAAAATTAGGAGGTACTGTTATATGGGGGCTACCATAAAAAGTGGACCTATACCTAAACATTTAGACATTTAGTACCCAATAAGAACCCAATGTACCAAATTTCAGCGAATTCGGCTAAAAACGCGCTCAAGAACCTAAAAGTACCGAAATTTGGCGGGTACCCTTATATGGGAGCTATGTCCAAACGTGGACCGATATATCCCATCTTTGAACTTGACCTGCCTGCAGACAAAAGACAACCCTATGCAAAATTTCAGCACCCTATCTCAATTTCTTCATAAGATAGCGTGATTACAACAGACTGACGGACGGACAGGGCTAGATCGTCTTGGAATTTCACCCTGATCAAGAATATATATACTTTATAGGGTCGGAAATGATTATTTCGATGAGTTACAAACGGAAAAACAAAATTAATATTCCCTCCATACTATGGTGGAGGGTATAAAAAGGGGGTTATATGGGGACTACCCCAAAAGGGGGGTGAATACTGATAATTTTTTGTAGGGAAATTTGTTACCATATACGACTACAAAATACCAAATTTCAGCGAATTCGGTTGAAAAACGCGCTCAAGAGCCCCAAAATACCGACATTTGGGGGGTACCCTTATATGGGGGCTACTAGAAAAAATGGACCTATATTTATAATTTTTAGTGGAGAGATTTGATACCCTATAAGAACTCAAAGTACTAAATTATAGCCAATTCGGTTGAAAACTACAATCAAAACCCCCAAAATACTGAAAATTAAAGGGTACCGTTTGGTAGCCCCCATATACCAGAAAAAATGGACCTATATGTATATTTTTTTGTGGAGAAATTGGGCACCCAATAGGTACTAAATATACCAAATTTCAGCGAATTGGGTTGAAAAACGCGCTCAAGAACCCCAAAATACCGAAAATTGGGGGGTACCCTTATATGGGAGCTATGCCTAAACGGACAGACGGACATGCTTAGTCTTAGAATTTTACGCTGATCAAGAATATATATACTTTATAGGGTCGGAAATGATTATTTCGATGAGTTACAAACGGAAAAACAAAATTAATATACCCTCCATACTATGGTGGAGGGTATAAAAATGTTTTGAAGTGGTAGACACAACCGTTTTTTAAGCAGAAGGCTTCATTGAAACAATTCTAGTTTAGTGCACGGTTGGGAATCATTTGAAATGTTTACCATAAGTCATGGAGGTCCTGATTATAACGATGAAAATGTATTCTTGTGGAAATCCGTATTTCCTGATTTATGGTCTTCCAAAGTTCCGCTGGGTACCTTGTATATTCTCATGATATTTAAAATGAACTAAGGCAATATGGGTATCAATTTAAATCGTTTGAAGTTTTGTTTATAAAAATTTAATTTTAACTTTTCGGAGAAGTGTATAAATTCTTATTGGTATTTAAAAATCGGCGGGGACCGTTTATAAGTGCTTAAATATAATATAGATTTCAATTAAATGCGCCTGAAATGCATGTTGGAAAAATAATATAATTATCTTATCAAAAGAGTCAATAAATCCTAAGAATTTCTCCTACGTAAAGATGACAACCCCAGCTTCACGACATAATATCCTTTGAATTAAAAGTATTTGTGGGTGACCGGAAAATACAAGGGTCCCATTGGAACTTTGGAGGCCAATATATCCGGAAATACGGGTTTCCACAAGAACAAATTACACCGTCGTAATCAGTGCAACAATTACTATATATGGTAACGATCCGCGAAATGACTAGTAGAATGATCCATTGAAGACTTCTTAAACAAGTAAAAAAGTGTCAATCGGTGATGCTGACAGATATATACCTTCAGGCTATGGTTTTGCAGAATAACACACAGGTTTTATTTCTCGTTTTATATAAGGTATATGTTCTTATCTAAGATGTTTCGGATTTAATGTTGATCAAATTCATTTGAAATTAAATTTACATGTTTACATCATATAGACCCTTTTTGGAGAGGGCAGACGAATCCCAACTTCGGACTTAATCTAGGTTTGATAAAGATAATAGGTTGTGCAAAATATGGTTCAAATCGGCCATTTCATTCGCCTCATATTGGATTCATAAATATGAAAAATTTAGACAATTTGTGTGGGAGGCACCAGAAGGAGTGGACCAATGGATCCCATTTTCCGACTTGATCTAGACTTGGTAAAGATAATAGGTCGTGCAAATTTTGGTTCAAATCGGACATTCCATTCGCCTCATATTGGATAAATAAATATTGAAAATTTCGATCATTTGTGGGAGATTTACTAGAAGGAGTGGACCAATGGGTCCCATCTTCAAACTTAATCTGGGCTTGATAAATATAATAGGTTGTGCAAAACTTGGTTCAAATCGGACATTCCATTCGCCTGATAATGGATTCAATAATATTAAAAATGTTGACCCTTTGTGGGGGAGGTACCAGTGGACCGATGAGTCCCATCTTCAAATTTGTGTAAAATTTGGTTCAAATCGGACATTCCATTCGCCAATATTAAAAAGTTTAACCCATTTTGGGGAGGTACCAGAAGGAATGGACCAATGGGTTCCATCTTCAAACTTGATCTGGGTTTGGTAATAGAATTAGGTTGTGCAACGTTTCGTTCAAAACGGACATACCATTAGATTGTTTTTGGTATAATAAATATTGAAAATTTTGACCCTCTATGGGAGAGGTACCAGAAAGAGTGGAACAATGGATCCCATCTTCAAACTTGATCTAGGCTTGGTGAAGATAATAGGTTGTACATGGTTTCGTTAAAATCGGATAGTCTGTTTGCATGTTATTATAAAATTAATTCTTAGCACAATTTTGTGGGGGAGGTACCAGAAGGAGTAGACCGATATTCCCCATCTTCGAACTTAAACTAAGTATGGAAGAAATATTAGGATGTGCAAAGTTAGGATGAAATCGATTTTTCCCTTCGAGGGTTATCGTGCGCACCAGCCAGACAGACACACGGACATGTGTAAATCGACTCCAAATTTTCTGAAACGGATTTGGTCAAAAGAAACATGGGGTCTAAAACCAATATTTCGATGAGGCACATTTTCTATTATCAATCTAGGTCAAAGTTTGAATATAGCCCTCATATAAAAGTACCGCCTTATTTTCGGTATTTTGAAGGTTTTAACAATAATAGCGATGTGCTATTAGGGTAGAACGGGCGTGAAACATAGTGAAATTCTGGGAAGAAACCAAAAATACCGAATTTTTTAATTCGTAAATCTCGTAAATAGATCGAACTCCGTAAAAAAGAAAAACAGTCCAATGCCATTATTGACCCTCCTCCATGCTTCGCAGCACCCTTCCATTACTGTGGCTTGAATTGTATTTTTTCCTGTGTGAGTCTTTAATATGAAACTTTATTTCATCCGAGAACATAATATTTCTCAACTGAGTCGGATTCCAATTGATATGAGCTTTTGCGAAAGCCAATATGGCTTTCCAATTCTTTTCAGGAAATTAATGGCCTTCTTGATCTTTTCCATAGTTGTAGTTCTCAACAAATAATTTGCATAGCATCTAGCGTGAATTTTGAAGTTTCTGTGTCCGCAAGAGCTTATAACGCCAAGAAATTTTTTACTGTATAGATCGTCATAACTCGACTAAATAAGTCGACCAAGTTCATCCGCCTTTCCATTGTAATTTGTAGTGCAGACTGCGGCCTGGACCAATTTTTGTGGTTTCGTCTGTATTGGTTATTGAAAAATAGTTTTTAAAAACTCCACGCCTGTATTGGTCTTTGAATTTTTTAATCCACGTCACGCCAGTATTGGTCTTTGAATTTGTTTAATCCACGTCACGCCAGTATTGGTCTTTTCTTGAAAATCCACGCCTATTTTGTTGGTTTATAAAAATCCATTCCTATTCCCAGCTTTAAATAATATTCTTCCATGTATCCATGTATTTTTTTTATTTTTCAAAAAAATTGGCAATAATTTCACATTTAAACCCCACTATTAGTACGAATCCAATCGCGAACATAAGAAACTCTCGAATAAATACCAGGATAATCGGGACGAGCACAACCATAACCCCATGAAACGACACCAACCAAAACGCCATCCTTGGTAATCAATGGACCACCTGAATCACCCTGGCAGGCGTCCTTACCACCTTCGGTGTAACCAGCACAGATCATACGTTCGGTAACACCACCAAATTTCTTATATTTGGCAGAACACTCCTCCTGATTGAAAATTGGAACTTCTGTTTGACGCAACCAATCATTTGATTCCATCGCATTTTGTGTATTACCCCAACCGGTAACCAAACAGTTCTCACCATCCTTGGCATCTTCTTTGGTTTCGGGTAACTTAATGGGTTGTTTTGTATCATCGAATTCAATTTCACGTGACAACTTCAGCAGGGAATAATCATAATCTACATTGGAGTAGTTGAATTTTTTATGTTGGACAATTTCAGCAACATCAATGTATTCGCCACCCTTGGCTGATTCTGAGGAGCCCAAACGTACCTTTAGACGATTGGCGGTTTTGCCACTGGAAAATAAATTTCAGAATTATTTTTTTTTTCAATTTTGTAATGATTTAAATATTTTAATCCAAAACTTACTAAGTACAGTGGGCCGCAGTTAGGATCCATTGCTTGGAGATAATGGAACCACCACAGATGTGATCGGAAGTCTGCAGGGATATTTGATGTGGAGCATCGGTAATATTGATTTTATGTCCTCCCACAATGCGTCCATCCAAACGTGGTGCTCCTTCGGCATCCTGCTCCTCCAAAAATCTGCCATGGACGCTCATCAAGCACAAGGCTGCTACCGTAATTATAACAAACTTCATATTTGGAAAAAAATTCTTCACTTCTTCTCTCCCTGAATTGTTACTTGAAACTGATACCTTTATTCCAATTTGGAGAGGATTTTATACAAAAAAACATCATCAAATAAATGTGGGTCTTACGAAATTTTAGAGGCTTTATCTTCGACGTGTGGTGTTCAACATAAAATTTAACGAAGTTTTCTTCACACCTTTCACACACATCCGATTATCACCCGCATAAAATCAGCCAGGCATGGCATTGCAGTTACCGCCCTTCATTAAACGTGACACAACCCCAAACGGCCTATAGAAGACCATGGGAAACTACCTGCATATTCCAAAATAGGGGGTTTTTAAGAGAATTTTTTTTTCATTCAAAGCAGCTGTAAAATTAAATTTTTAGAGAATATTTTTTCACAGACCATCCACAAGGCGTGGATTTTTTAAAGAATATTTTTTCAAAGACCATCCACAAGGCGTGGATTTTTTAAAGAATATTTTTTCAAAGACCACCCACAAGGCGTGGATTTTTTAAAGAATATTTTTTTAAATACCATCCACAAGGCGTGGATTTTTTAAAGAATTTTTTTTTTTAAATACCATCCACTAGGCGTGGATTTTTTAAAGAATATTTTTTCAAAGACCATCCACAAGGCGTGTATTTTTTAAAGAATATTTTTTCAAAGACCATCCACAAGGCGTGGATTTTTTAAAGAATATTTTTTCAGAGACCATCCACAAGGCGTGGATTTTTTAAAGAATATTTTTTCAAAGACCATCCACAAGGCGTGGATTTTTTAAAGAATATTTTTTCAAAGACCATCCACAAGGCGTGGATTTTTTAAAGAATATTTTTTCAAAAACCATCCTAGGCGTGGAGTTGTTAAAGAATATTTTTTCAAAGTCCATCCACAAGGCGTGGATTTTTTAAGGAATATATTTTTTTAAAACCATCCACAGGAATATTTTATGTTAACAATAAGTCTTCGGTTTTAGTTTATTTTTAGTGGGAGTAATTTATTCTTATAATTAAATAAAAAAATTGTATGAAACGGAAGATCATTTCCTAGGTGGCAATGACAGCACTACCGATTAAATTGTTCTTACCTTATAAGGCGAAATTGTTTAAAATTTAAAACCCATCGCAATGACTCAATTGACAGAACCAAAAGAACTTTCCATGCCACCAGACAAATCATACCTTATTTAAAAATTGAAATTGTTTACGAAAACTCAACACAAAAACTAGAATGTCAGATATGTCAAAATAATAACGCCAACATAGGTACACTTCGACAGCGACGGCGACCTTAAATGCGAACACTTAATAATTTATTGAACTTTAATGAATGTCTGAAGCAATGAGACACGAACATACAAAAAAGTAAAAAAAAAAAAACAATGACGTCCAATAAACCACACAGCTAACTATACAGATATGATGTCATCTGTGTTGTATCTTGAAATACTGCAAACAAAATATCTGTCTGAAGTCGAAAAGATGCAGAAGGATTGTTGCATGCATTATTAGGGGCATCCAATAACAACTGATGGTCCATCACACATTTGGGCGTGACATCATCGTTTTTCAGTCCCTATTCAATTTGGACAATTTTGATTTGTTGTTTTATTTATTTTTATTTTTTGCATCCAATTGGAAATTTATAAATCAAAACAAACTGTCAATTTGTATAGGACACAAGGTCATGGTCAAGTTTGGGAACGTTTATTGTTTTTGATTTAAATTTTTTTTGAACTCTTTCAATTTAAACAAAATAGATTTTTCATTATTGAATACGATCACGAACGCAAACAGAAATAAAACCTTATATTTTTTTTCGCAAGAGTAAGGTGGATTTTGTATTTAAAAAAAATATATATATATACATAAAATTTAGCAATGCTAACCCAAAGTTATTTCATATACTGGAATACAATTTTCCTATTTTCCGCCAATATTTTTTAGATACCATTTTAAGAAATTGAATTGATGATTTCAAACAATAAAAAAACATTTCACCGCCTTTGCCATTTCTCATTCAGAAACAATTGATACAATTCCATACCTACAAATAAATTAATAAATTTGTCGTTATCCAAATATGGTTTGCAACAATTTGCTTATTATTGAATTATCATCATGAAAACAAATAGTTGATCAGATCCCCTTTCGCTTGTAACATTTGTTATATTCGGCCTCTATAAAAGTGGTCTCTAGAGCAGGGCTGTCCACACTAATACATTCAAGTTTTGTGATTGTATATGTTTCAAATACAAAATTTTCAAAATTTCTGTTTCTATGTCATATACTGGGAGAAATTTTGTTAAAATATTATTTTCAAATTTTAAAAAGGAAAAAATTTAATATTAAATGCAAATATGGTTCTTGATGATACATTTTCCCATATAAAGATATATTTGTTTCTGGTTTGCCCTTTCGGCATGATATTGCTCACATATTTCGACCTTTTCCGAACTAATGTTTGCCTGAAATATCCCAATTGTTCGGTTAGTGTATAAAAACAAAAAAGAATGAATGACAATTTTGAAAATAATTTTTATTTTCAAAATTTTCTCTTTTATAATTGTATGTGTGAGCAATTTGACACACACCGACAGCCCATGGGACCTATTTTGGGCACAGCTGCTCTAGAGTGAAAGAAAAAAATGTTTTTCGTCCAATTCATCCCCTGAATAGCATCTGATCATGCCCGAAAATTATATGGGTCGTTCTTGACCATATCCGGAACTTCGTGTAAGACGTTCGGCGCGACAATAATTAGTAGTTTGTTTTTGTATAAAATGTTTTTATTATTTCTTTGTTTTATATATGCTTATATTTAAATTAAATAAAATCAATTTATCAAACATCAAACTATATATAGCCTGTCTTTTAAATTCATTTGTTGAAGAACCTATTTCATCGGATGTTTCAAGGTCTTCGTTAAGATCTTCGTCTTCAATTAGTTGTTCAGATTCTTCTGCTCCTCTTTGATATAACAAAATGTGTAAAATACAACAAACAACGTTCCATTGACAACAATATAGATGGCTTTGGGAAGAATTAATTCGCATTTTTAATATTTTTAAGCTGTTGATTTTTTTTCAAAATTCCAAAGACATGCTCTATTCTTACCCTATACGATCTATGTCTTCAATTAAATCGTTTTCGTTGGGTTCCCAACAAGAACATGACGAATACGTAGCTTATTATCGCAAATAAATTGCGCTTTTATAGAGTATACGTGTGTTCGCGAAAAAAAAGATGTTACACCAATTACAGAGGTTTCTGATAGCGGTATCTCAGTGCCGTCAACATAGCCTATACAGAAGGGAAACTTACTATATGTCTCTGCAACAATAGATGCTATTTCTTCCTCTTCTGGTCAATATATATACTTCGATTGTAAGTTTAAAAACGCATTAAATTCTCGTCGGGTTATCTTGTCAATGGTTCCGCCTTCACCAACTCCAAAAAACGCTGCCATTTTTTAATGCATGCTTCTTCTCCAGATGACCCGAGTTTAAACAGCACAATTGCTAATTGGTATTCTATTGGAAATTGCTGACAAAATAACATTCTCTATAACTTCGTCCATGGTCACAAATACCTTTAAGAATATATAAACATTTTAGACTTTCTTCATATAATCTAGAAAATTATACATACCTTGACATTCTTTAAATTCTTCAATTTAACTTTTATCAATTGCATTTTCGACCAGATTTTCTATAATTTTTTTGTGCAAAGTTTCGTGAAAATCGGTTCAGATTTAGATATAGCTCCCATATATATCTTCGTCCGATTTAAGGTAAATGGTGTACCAAAGTCCCTATAAATCTTTTGATTTGCACGAATTTTGGCATAGCGTACTGAATTAAGTCTAAAATGATGTGTGCAAAGTTTCGTGAAAATCGGTTCAGATTTAGATATAGCTCCCATATATAGTTTCGCGCGATTTTAGGTAAATGGTGCACCAAAGTCCCTGGAAATCTTTTCATTTGCACGAATTTTAGCATAGCGTACTTAATTAAGTCTAGAATGATGTTGCTAAGCTTCGTGAAAAGGCCATAGCTAGGCCAATTGACACAACATACTGAAGTAATATACATAAGTCTCTGGCAAGTTTCCCTGAAATCGGTTCAGATATAGATATATAACAAAAACCCGACGTCTGTTAGGATACATATGTAGAATATACCCAAAGTGGTGAAGGGTATCATATAGTCGGCCCAGTCCGACTTTACTACTTTCCTTACTGGTTTCTTTTGGCATTTTTGATGTTTAGGCATTTTTGAGTATATATTTCTTAATTTATTTCAGCAGCACAGCACAATTGCATACAATTACAAATTGGTGGGGTACACAACACAAAAAACAAGAGTTTTCGTTAGTTTACTATACTCATAAAAAGACGCTCACACATGGTTGTAAAAAACCGTAGTACATTTAAAAGGTCGCTTTGAAATTTTCCATGAGGATTCTGGTATGGAAGTTGTGTAGGGTATCATATGGTCGGCCCCGTCCGACTATACTGCTCCGCTCACTGGTTATTAAATATTTTTTGTAAAGAAATATATACATACAAACTTATTTAAGAAAATACATAAAATATCAATTTAAATAAATAATTTGCCAAACTAAAATAGCTATAAAATCAACCTTTTGTTATTAGATTATTCCCCATGAGCGTAATCTTTACAAACTTTACGGACACATCCACAATCACAACTTTTTGGTCTTCCTTCTTTTCGTACCATGGTTAAAAATGGTTTTTATACATAATCACCATTGTCATATTTGTGATGATGCAATCAAACCGTATCGCTCCTCAAAGCTGGCTGTGATATGCCTATTTTAAAGTCAAAACATTTCACAGCCCCTCTGAAGAAGGACACAATTCTTAGGATCAATATAAAATATTCATTCATAATATCACAGTTTGGTATATTTTTTATTTAAAACACTTTCTTATTTATGGAATATATGCATATCTGTACATCCATTATTTGGACGGTGG